CGCGAGTATATTTTTATCAAGTGGTTTTTTTTTCAACTCGTTTACTCTAAGACTAACCAGCTTTTGCCTTTTAATTGACTGTCAGTAAATTCCTTCAAACCTTCTTTCCCTTTTTTTCCATAAATCACTTTGTTGCTACCGATGTTTCTTTCGTTATCATAGAAACCAGGGCACTTTAACAAAAAACGATCATTTGCGAATTGCTTAAGTAAGCAGTTAGTGTTAGAAGCATTTACCAGTATTTGCCTCCATAGCGGCATCAGTGCTGAACATATCAAAGCTCGTCTTGTTTTAATCCTTAAAGGCGGTAAGTTGCTTCACGGAGCGAAAAAACTTAACAATGATCATTCCGACCGCAAGGTGTTGTTGCGTCAATTGGAAGCATTCACTGACAGAATAATAACGCTGAATTACTGGCACCTTAACCACAATTACTATTTACTTTTGTAAGAGCAGCCACAAATTCTAACTATCGCGTGTAGTTAACTTCTAAGGTGAATAATACATTTTAAGGATATCCACCCCACAATGAAGTACGGTTCATTTTATAAAGTGAACCAACTTCTCGTTGCTCCTGTTTGAAGACCTTTTAAGCTATTTCTAAAAAAAATGTATGAAGAAGCGTGGGTGAAAATCAGCTAAGGGTTTTATTGTATCTTCAGCCAGCATCCCGGGAGACAACATTTGTCATCCTACGGATTTTGTCTTCACATGTCCGCAAATAATTTCTTGAGCTCTCAAAGTCATCCGTGAAAAATAATAAGTCAGTCTCTTTCTAGGTTTGTCTAAAAACTTGCAGGTTGGCAAGTTGTACCGACAAGGCTACTGATGAATTTGTGTCTATTTTTGCCTCTGTAAAAGGGTAACACGCTGCCCTGCCTTCCTTCCAACTTCTCCACCTATGTCCTCCCTTTCCAAATCACCCTTGCAAACCACAGTAATGCATTATCAGTCGCAATCACCAAACTGTCGATTATGCCTTTCGACTCTACACTCACAAAGGCAATTACAGTCTTTTACTTTTCTCACTTCCACCCCTTGAAGAGGTAACTGAAGGAAACTTGATGGACCCACAGCCTGTAATTGGCTTGAATTATGGTTGCATTATATGCGTGATTTTGATATTATCTCAATCTTTATTGCCTTTTAGTAAAAGTTTACTATATTACGCGTTATAAAAACAATGAACTATGAGGTGACTTCAAAAATAATTTATTTTGGTTTTCGGTAGACGTTGTTACGATAACCGAGTGCAATAAAATGAGCCATGAAAGATGGAGACATGAGGAGCGCTCTAATATGGTACTATTGACCGAGGATGTCACGGAAAAAAGAGTCAACTTGGTTGGTGGCAATAATGAAGTGCTTCACAATGTCTCCTCACTGAGGCAGTGGCTCCAATACTGGAAATGGGGAATATAACCTGTTGCCACTGACACGAGCGCCGATGGCTGGGATGCTATGTCCCCTATTCTTCATGGCCATTAGTTGAGTAAAAAACAAGTACTAGCAGCGAATAGGATCCACTTGGGCAGGTGGGCTCCCAGCAGCTGGTATAAACACGCTCCTGACTCTGTTTACAGTCATGCGTTAACGATGCAGGGTACTGATAAGCATTATAGGTGATTGCAAAGCCTCGGCATTCCATTGCACAGCTTTCGTTTCTCTTCCCTCAATTGCCGCATTGCACATCACAAAATCGAGGTGGTAGAGTTAATCGCAGCGATAGCACTGCACCCCAGTCAGAGGGGTCCCCACCAAATAAGAATGTTTGCATGGCAGGGTGTGGGGGATCTCTAAGGTACAAGAGAAGCAAGAAAGCAGCCAATGCTTGTGCCATCTCAGTTACAAATCTATCGCCCTCTTCCGAACGGCTTTGCGAAAAATATTTCAAAGCATCTAGAGTTCTATTTCACAACCTTCTTGATGAAATTCTACCGTTGTGCCACTACAGGCACTTGTAAGTGTCAGAAATGTCCTCCATTCACTTAGTCTCACTTCCATTGCCAGTCCTCTTCCAAATGACCGCGTGACCCACTTTACCACAAGCTGCGATATTCAAAGCTACTCGCAGCTGTGTACATTCATACACCCATAGAATACTGTCAAGGAATGGTTGAGTTGACGAATAACATGGAACTGAGAGCTGGAAAAATGTCCACATATTCACACTGGAAAGAGCTGTCGAGCTGGAGGTTAAACAAGCGTTAGCACTTGGTTCTTCCTTCATCATGCTCAGCAGACCACTTGCGTGGGTCACGTAGACCTCATTCCGGACACGGCACAGAATGCAACATTGTATACTGTGTTTGGCTGTTGTTTCGGCTGTCTGTAAAAGCACATGATATGACAAATGAATTAGTAGGGGTTTGTTGAAGGAAGGGTCTCTGGATGACTAGTCTTGCCGTCGATAAAAGCCACTGGTTGTTCTACCAAAAGACAAATAAGTTGGTCATATCCACTAAAGCAGGCCTGAGGGTGTCGCATAAGCAGTGCAACACTCTTCAAAACTCGAGAATGTGCAAGTCGCGTAGGCCTAGAAAACAGTCTTTCCTCCTTTCAATGGGACCATATTGATGAAAAAACCATGTCTCTTGCCTTATTACTCCTACAACGTAGAGTCAGGTTTACATTTGCAACTATGCTCTATTGCAAGGGATACTCCTTTAATGCTTGCTGCTAAGTTGACGAGTGTCAGGTGCAGACAAACAGGCGCAACTGATCCACTAATCGTCTACCGCCGATGTAACTACTCTTGTCCTTACTTTCCGCCTTCCCGTACCCATTGCTAA